GTCTACAGAATTCCCTTTTACCATGACCTGATGCCTGCTAGGTCAGGAGCAGGGTTGTGAGGGTCCATACTGATTGAAGTGAACTGTGGACCATGATTGGTTATACAGGGTGATGGGCCTATGTGCACACATGCAAGGGCCCTTGCAGTAAGAGACTGGCCGGCAGGTGGTATACTATTAGAGACCTCACTTGTGATCTGGCCTCAGTTCTTGTAAATTTTAGGAGTCAGCTTGCCCATGAGACACTGAAAACAAGACTTAATGATGTCACTCGATCGCATGGTCCGTTCACCACTGGCATCAGCATTCTCTACCTCCTGTGTACCCTAAAGAGGCGGTTGGAGTTGAGGCTAGGGCCATGGCAATGCTGGCTGGGGGAAAGAACAGAGGCTCCAGCATCAGCAGTGTTGTTTGCTTTCATGCAAATGTGAACACCTACACGCCCAAGAGCAGGGAGTGTGGGTTTGCATGTGCCGATGGGTTTGAGTGACTGTGAACAAGTAAAGCAAGCATGCAAGGGGAGTGGAAGAGGGGAGAGTGACCACCTGAAAAGGAGTGTGTGCATGAGGGGAAGAAAAGACATCTGTGCAAGCATGGAATGACAGGTCTACACTAAGCGCCAACCATGGTCCCTGCAACCAAGAGTGACTAAATCACAGGGAAAGGACAGGGGATGCAGAGGGAAGGACTGTGCTTGCCGATCTTTGTGCACATGCGTGAGGTCAGGGTGCAGTCCCTGGAGAGACCCAGAGAGAGTGAGAGGGCTGGTGTGTCTTTTGGTTGCCAGGGAGCTTGTATGGTGGATGAAGGCAGACCTCACTGCAAAGCTGAGCAAGCTGAGCATGCAAGAGGAAGGAGACGTGCAGGTGCGTGTCCTCCGGAGGTGCATGTCCACCCCCACAGGGCCCTGTGAGTGAGGCAGGCCACGTGCTTGGGCGACTGTGTGGGCATGTGCGTGTGTGTACGTGAACATGTGGCTGTGTCAAATGAGAACAAACACAAGTGTGTGAGCGCACGTGGGAGTCGCCCTGGAGGGTGTGAGCAGCCTACCCGCTTTGAAGGCAGCTGTGGGCTTCCTGGATTGCTGGTGATGCCTAAAGACATCTTCTTCACACCAGGGAGCATTATCTAAGAGGTCTATTTGACCTGCCTCATGCTGGTTCAGGTCCTGGTGACCGAGACTCTGAGTGTTGGCCGTGTCACCCCACCCTGAAGTTTGTGTGGGAATGGATGAGTCACCCGGCCTGGCTGGCCCTCACTCTGCCTGTATCTTGCCCAGCAGGGAAGGCAGTAGGGAGGGAGAGAGATGACTTAGGGCTGTATTCTTATACCATTAGTAGCATTATGCAATTGCTCACAGTGTCTGCTGGCTCTTCCCAAGGCCCAGGACCACAATGCTCTTGGCCTCTCTACATCCGTCTGTTTTATGTCCAGGTTACCATTTAGGTCAGCAGATCTGGATGACCAACATTTGTGGCAATATATTTCACACTAGGATCAGTGCCACACAACCACAATGCTAAACCACCTTCCGGTTCTTCTCCATATCCCTCTGCTTAGCTTTCGTCTTTTTCTACGGTCACTTCCACTGTTTGCCCATGTTCCCCCCCACCTCCTTATGTGTTGCCTATCTTCCCTCTACAGTGACTGCCTACGGATGATCTCAGCTCTCTATGAATTCACTGAGCCATCCGACAATCCTGTATGGTACCAAAGATTAATCTTTTAAAAATGTTTTATTTTTTTTATTTAAAAAAAACCCCTATTTTGTGTGCATTGATATTTTGCCTACATGTCTCTGTAAGGGTGTTGGGTCCCCTGGAGCTGAGGTTACAGACAGCTATGAGCTGCCATGTGGGTGCTGGAAAATGACCCCAACTCCTCTGCAAGAGCAGCCAGTACTCTTAGCTGCTGAGCCATCTCTCCAGCCCTGCAAAGATTAATCTTGACACTTCATAGATGGCAGACCCAGGAAGGTGACGTTATTACCTCTATGATTAGTGACTGAGCCAGGTTTAAGACCAGAATCTCACTCTTTTTTCTTTAAATTAATTCATTTAATGTATATGGGTTTTTGTTTGCATATATGTTTTTACACTATATGCCTGCAGAGTTCATGGAGTAACTGGAGGTACAGACAATCTGTGAGCCTCCATGTGGGGTACTGGGAATTGAACCTGGACCCTCTGGAAGAACAGCCAGTGCTCTTAAAAGGTCAGTCATCTCTCCGGGCCTGAAGCCCCACTCTTAAGACATAAAATAGTCTTGTGGGGTAGGTGCTTTCTCAGTTTAGCTTTCTATTGGATCTCCTGAACCTATTACAGTACCAGTCACATGTAGGTGCTCAGTTAATGGTGAATGAATGAAGACATGGCTGAATAAATGCTCGGTACGGAGGACACAGAAGCGAGACAGAGTGGTCCTCACCTTAAAGAGCTCATGGTCACAAAAAAGGTAAATAATCATTAGAATTCCGTATCTGCCTGGCATCATGGGTGTCTAGGGGGCACACACCTTCATGGCCCTTGGCAGATAGGGCTTTCCAGAAGTAGGACACAGAGGGAGACAGTTATAGTGACACTGCCTATGTTCTCCCTGGTGTCAAACATCCCTTTATTCCTTCTCACTTGATCTACAGACAACACTGACTCTATGGAGACAGTGGAGGTAGACCAGGCCAGTGGTGAGGTCATTGGCTCAGGAGTGGCTGGACTGAGACTTCCCTTACCAAACATCAACCAGCTAAGGGAATTTGGGAAGAAAGCCCAACTTCCCTGGGCCTTGGTCTTGTCGTCTGTAAGATGGGGGGCAGTAAATGATACCAACTTCCTGAGTATTGCATAAGGCAGGGGATGTGCCAGCGTCAATGGAGATGACTAATCTCCTCTTCCATTCGACATTGTTTGCTGGCTCTGGGGGAGGAGAGTTAGATTTAAACATATTGTGCTTCTTACTGTAACCTCTCTGCTGTGGCTTTGCCCCATTTTCCAGAATTGGCCCAGCACAGAACTCATCTACGAACCTTCATTAAGGGAGGGACTCTGTTTCACCTATGTCCCAGTACCCAATCCAGTACTTGAGACATGGTAGGTACTCAGTAAATGTTCTTTCTTAGCCAGTGAGTGGGTCACATCTATTTACTTCCCCAGGACCTTTGTGAAGATGAATATTCATGTTGCTGTTCTTTCTATTTTCAGATGATGGTCTGGAGGCAGGTCCGGCAAGGTTAAACGACCTGCCCATAAATACACACCCTGGAAATAGCATAGCCAGACCCAAATGCCAGGCCCCATGCTCTTCCCTCACAGTGTGCTCCTCCCTGGGTTTCTATGCATTATGTCCTACTTTCCGTGGATGTTTTCTAGCCAGTGGGGTCATCTCTGGTTGTAGAATCATCTCCGAATTCTATGACTCATATCTGAATCACAGAAGTGTTTAATAGTTGAAAGAGACTTTGATGTCACTGAGATCTCCTACCCACTGTGGAAATTTCCTCTCCATTGCTTATCTTCCAGTGCTTGAATGCCTCCAGAGATGGGACACTCATTTCCATCCTCTGGAACCATCAGTTCTATGACTAGACCACTCTGAAAGTCAGGAAGCTAAGTTCTTCACCCCATGGGCCCAGATCTTTTGTGTCTACATGTTGGGTTTATGCCATCACACTAAAATATGCAGGATGGATCTGCTACCCCCAGCATATGGGGGTACCCTTCAGATACCAGCTTTCATATTCCTTCAGACAATTCTTTCTCTCTAACTAGCTCCTCTGGTCCCCACCGCATCCATCCCTCTAGCTCATGGTATGTAACGTGCCCCTACAGGATAAGGGCAAACTGCACCAAAGCCTCAGGCTGTTAGAGGAGCTTCAGGGACATGGGGATGGGTGGGCAGTGGATGTTGTCATTGCTTGTTTTGGAGTCACTGCTTCAGAGTCATATCTGTTTCTTTTCAACGCCAATCTTAAATGTCACACGAAGACTGCCTTTTAGAGCTTCTTACCTTGCCTGATCACGAGGTTTCTCAGACACCACAGGTTTTCGGCTTCAAAGTTAGAATTCAAAGACTATTTTTGAAACAAACATTTGGGCAGAGGATATGAAAACGTAGGCTGTGTGACAAAGGTATGGCAAGTTTTCACCAGATTCTCCTGCCTTTATTTTGAAACATTGCCTCAATAGACACTTGTTAGGAGAAAAATAATTAAAACGTATAAAAAGGAAATAAAACCACTTTCGCTGTCTTCTCTACTCCTTTCCTTCGAATGCAGTTTATCTTGACCAGGGATGTGGTCTCCAACTGGTGGGCCATGCTGCCACCCTTTGGGCATGGTGCCCTGGCTGTCTCCATGGTGACAACCACGACAGGGGTTCCAACGGGCAGGCAGACTCACACATCTGTGGTCACCTGTGCTCCAAAGGTTCTGATTCCTAGTCAGGCGTCTCTGCAGGACTGACAGGCAGCTCTGCATGCTGCTTGCCCACCTCGGCTCAGACCATATTATCTGGTTTACAATGTTCTCCATTGCTCCTGCGGCCTTCACCAACACAGCGACTCTCTCTCTCTCTCTCTCTCTCTCTCTCTCTCTCTCTCTCTCTCTC